CCCCTGGAGTTTGGGATCTTAAAGCTATGTTATTCCCAAGGGCTCAAGCGATTGGCAGTGTGGCATAATGGTTAAAACATCAGCTTTGAAATCAACATCTGAGTTCAAATCCTAACTCGGTCACTTATTACAATGTTGTTTCATCTTGTTTCGCTCTCTCGGTGCCTCAGTCTCATCTGTAAAATGGTGAGAAAAATGGCTACCCTATGGGTTGGTTGTGGAATTAAATGAGATGATAGACACAGTGCGATCAGCCCAGTGTCTGGTACAGAAGAAACACTCAACAGAAGGCAGGGCTGCAGCTGCTGTTATAACTTATTAGTCTGGTTTTCATTGCCATGATTAATTAATGGGGGTGGTGTTTAATGCAATGGGAATTGACTCAGGCTTTACCCAGTGGGTTAGAGGATGGGCAGGCCTCCGGATTTTCTTAGTTCATTGGCACACACGAGGCAGCATAAAACTCACACTTCATACTGCAGTATAAGACACCTTCTGGTGCCGTACTGGGGTTATCGAGGGATGATGTGGGAACTTCTGTCTGTGGGCTTTACAGCTGAGGACCATCATAACAACAGCTGATGTCTACGGAACTCTACTTAGCAACCATGAGCAAGGTACTCTTGGAAGCACGTTCCTACCAGATAGATTCTAATCATCCCCATTTCACAGAGGGCCAAACCAAGCCTCTGCTAGCCTAAGTAATGTGCCCAAGTTCACACACCTAACAAATGGCAGAGCCAGAATTAGACGGGGGTCAGGCTGAGTCCCCTGCATTCTGCCTTCTGCCCAGTAGCAGTGACTAGAATTCAGCCTGGTGCCCTCTCCCACCAGAATGTCACAGAAAATGCTGCCCAAGATAAGGTCTCAGGACCAAAGTCCAGAATCAACTTTCAAGTCAAGCTGAGGGACTGTCTGGGGTCATCGGGCCAGGGCAGACCAGCTGGCTGCGTTAGTGAGAGCCCCCTTGGTAACCACCCTCACAGGAAGCTCGGGATTCTCCTGGGATCATTTTCAAAGGCTCTGGTTTACTCGGTGAGGCCAAACTCAATTGCTGTGGGGCGGCCTCCAGGCCAGAGATCCTGCCTTTCATTTCACAAGGAAGCTTTCCTGATCCGAGTGCCATTGAGGAGGTTACAAAACAAGCCTTCCCTGTCTTCTCCACGCTTAGACAGCTTTAACTAGATGTTGCAGAAAGAGAGACTTCCAGATTATTACCCTTTTTGAAGTGATTTTGTTAGTTTTAAATAACTCCATTTTGTGGCTACCTGTATCCTGTTTGGCTGATTAGAGCTAAAGAACATGATAATTGCCTGCTTTCATTCGGCTCTAAAATAAGCCCCGAGCATCGTGCCCAGCCGAGACCGTGCTGCAGTGCTGCGCTCGCAGTTTATTCTTATTACAGATGGCATGCTTTGGTCCCCACGACACCCCCACGCAGGCTGCCCTGGGAGCTTATCATTAGCATCTCTGTGCCCCTGACGGGTCTCTCTGAGACTCTGACGGAAGGCAGAAGCAGTCTCTGAAGAAGAAACTCAAACTGATACAAAGAAAACCTAGACAGCCTGTGTGCCCCTGTGCACTGTAGGGCCGTGGATGACAGGCCCGTGACATGGGGACTTGTTGAAAGCTATTTTGCTGATTCTGCTCCTTTCCAAGGAGACAAAGATCACAACCAAGAAAAATATTTCTTCTAAGAATTAGAAGTTTCCATTTCAGGGGTGCCTAGGTGGCTCAGTCAGTTAAGCGTCCGACTTCAGCTCAGGTCATGATCTCACCGTTCATGGGTTCAAGCCCTGCACCGGGCTCTGTGCTGACAGCTCAGAGCCTGGAGCCTGCTTCAGATTCTGTGTCTCCCTCTCTCTCTGCCCCTGCCCTGCTTACACTCTGTCTCTGTCTCTCAAAAAGTGAGTAAACGTTAAAAAAAAAAAAAAAGTTTCCATTTCAAAGGCATGAGCACAGTTAATTTAGACTTGTTAGTAACTGTAGGGACCAGCATTTATTAAACACCTACTGTGTGCCCATGAGGCCGGGTTCTTTACCTGTGATGGCTCATAGCATTAGCTCTGGCTACACTATCTGCCTAAACACCAATCCTGAAACAGCTGAATGTTTGCAAATACAGCCCTAAAAACAGGACAGGGAGGCATTCAACATAGACGCTCACTGTATTTACGCAATTTTGAATCTAAAAGTGTAAGAAGCAAAGTGAGTGACTCACTAGGGCAACATGTAAAAATACGTATTCTTTGTTGGACCATGAAGGGTGGTCTCGGGCAGCTTCCAACTTGCAAGTGACAGGGCACGGAGCAGAGACACAGGGCACGGAACAAGGCCACTGTCACCATGGGAAGCCTTACTCGTTCTTACAGCTCAGAAAACCAAGAGAGTGGGGCGCCTGGGGTGGCGCAGTCGGTTAAGCGTCCGACTTCAGCCAGGTCACGATCTCGCGGTCCGTGAGTTCGAGCCCCGCGTCGGGCTCTGGGCTGATGGCTCGGAGCCTGGAGCCTGTTTCCGATTCTGTGTCTCCCTCTCTCTCTGCCCCTCCCCCGTTCATGCTCTGTCTCTCTCTGTCCCAAAAATAA